CTCTGCCTTCCTCTGCTATGGCTGCCCAGGCCGCTGCCCCTGTCAGCTATGACCAGCACCCCATGCTCCTGCTGGCCACCATGTTGGCCCTGCTGGCTCCCCAGCACAGTGACCATCTTCCTGGTTACCAACTGCCATCCCAGGCCCTCCAGTGCAGCTTCTGTTGGCAGGGACACCAATAAGGTGCTGCATCTGGGCCTGCTGGGCCAGCCAGCACTGGTGGCAGGATATCATCCAGCACACCTGGGATGATGAGCAGTGGCTGGAGGCCTTCTGCATGACCTAGGCAACTTTCTTCAATCTTGTGGAGTGGCTCTGGCCCCATCTGGAGTGGCAGGATGCTGGCATGTGGCCACCCCTCCCCATGGACATCTGCCTGGCCCTCACCCTGCTCAAGCTGGCCACACCTGCCAACTTGTGGTATGTCAGCCAGCTGTTTGGCCTTAGCAAGGCTACCACTAGGAAGAGCATCCTGGAGGTGTGTGGTGCCCTCTGGGGGACACCATGCTCTGTGTGCAAAACTCCCTGGCAGTGGTGGTGGGGTTCTGTGCCCTAGGAATTACCCTAGTGCATTGGGGCCCTGGATGACACCCACATTCCTGTCACCTGCCTGCTCCATGAGGACCAGCCCTACTACAGTCACAGGGGATTTAACTGGGTGGTGCTTCAGGCTGTTGCGCATCACCGTGGGGCCTTTATGCACATGAGCAGCAGCTGGGCAGGCAATGCCCATGATGCCCTCATATTCTGGAACTCCAACCTGTTGGGCCTGGTAGAGAGTGGCTGCTTTGCCTTGGGGGTGCCAGATCTGCAGCTGGGCACCATGGCCATCCTACCCCTCTTCATCGGGGACACTGTCTGTCCACTCCTGCCCTGGCTCATGCAGCCCTACACTGGCCACCTGGACCTCTGCCAGGCCTACTTCAACCACTGCCTGTGCTGGATCCGCACCCTGGTGGAGTGCTCCCTTGGCCACCTCAAGGGCCACTGGCATGCTCTAACCATCTGCCTTGACCCACCTGGGTTATCATTGCAGCCTGCATGTTGCAGCCTAACTACTGCAAGGCCTGGGGGGAGATGTTCTGCGAGGCCTGGCTGGATGAGGCATGGTGTGCAGAGGATGCCTGGTAGTGGGAGCACCACCTGAAGTGGCAGAGGTGGGTCCCCTCTGGTGAGACCTGAGGAGAGCTGCACACCTGCCAACAGGTGCTAGGGCATCATGTGCCCTGCTTTAGAGCCAGGGTGAGCAGCGGCGTTGGGCCTGGGCAGGTGGGGCGGGGGGGCACTGGTGGTGTGCAGGCATCTGGGTGGCACTGGACCCAAGGCAGGGGCCAGACCAGGGGCTTCTGGTGACTGGTTGTGGTGGAGGACCTTCTCCCAGGCCCAGCCAGGGGCCTGCGGTGGGGTAGTGGGAAGCGTGCAGCACGAATTTGACTGCCAGGGCCAGAACAGTGTCCAACACCTGATGGTTATAGTCTGTGGCCTTTGCTGTCCAGCCCAGGATTGCATTCTGCTCCTACAGCACCTGGAGCTACTTGTGCTCCAGCGCCAGCAGCTGGGCCTGGAACTCCTGGTCCAACAAGTCCCATGCCTCCTCACACCGGTCCCTTGCCTCCTTATGGGTGATGTTCTCTGCTGCCAGGCTCGTGAGCCCTCCAGTCAGTCCCACAATGTCACCACCAGATACTCCAGGAGGAGAGTCCTGTCCTGGGTCCTCCTCTGGTGGACCTGGTACATCTGTAGGGCTGTGGGTGACAGTGGGTGACAACTGTGGATGACAGTGAGCCTGAGCCTTCATCCCAGCTGCCAGGGGCAGCCTCTCCTCCTCATACCCTATTCACTGTGTGTTTCAAGATCCATTTTCCACCACTGTGGGTACGTACAGAGCAATGAAACAGAAGGTGTTTGTGAGAGTTTCTGAGATAAGAAACTTGTTACCAGAGACCTGTGAACTATCCAGTCTCAGTTTGGGGGCTGGGAGTGCACAGGTGCCCAGGGACCATGGTAAGTTGGCCGGGCAGGCCTGGATCCAGGTGGCCGCCAGCCGAGCCATTCACCCAAGCTCATTCCTCATGGGCTGGCAGGCCACTGGGTGCTGGCTGCAGGTAGCCTGCCTCTCCTGGCCCATTTCCTGACAGCACCTGCATCTGCAGCTCCAGACCCCTCTCCCTCCCTCTTCTCCTGCAGGCCAGCCACTCTCCTGTGTTGCCACCCATCCCATGGTGCCTGGGCTCAAGAGGCACAGAGCTCTTGGTCACCTGGGACAAGGAGATGCCTGTGTCCCTTCCCTCACCACAGGTGGCCTTTCTGGGGAGGCACCCCAGGACCAGCTCCCTGGAATGCCAGCACTGCACCCTTAACATGTCCCTGCTCTGCTTGTCACAGGTGGTATGTGAGGAGTTGTTTGTGTGGGCCAAGGAGTGCCTGTCCCATTACATCCTGCTGCTGCTGATCACCATGGTGTCCTGGCCACACCTGCGCACCTCATACAGGACCCTGAGCTATGATGGCATGGGGGGCTGCCCCACAACCTCCGCTGCCACCTGGAGGGCTACCTGTGGCTGTGCTACATGTACCTGCCCCCACAACTTTGCAGGAAGACAATGTTGCTGGCATTGCTGCATTCCTGGGCATGCGAGAGGCCTATGTCCGCCTAGCTGTGGGGGCACAGGCTGCTCAAAAAAGTTTGGAACTGTCTCCTGCCTCCCTGTATACTGTGGGGGGAGGGGTGGGGAACCCAGGGGCAGGGGAATGTGGGTTGCTGGGCTGGGAGGAGAAGCAAGGGGTGGGGTCAGGGGCAGGGAGGGCCCTTCCCCCAGTGCAGGCCTTACCGTGTGGCCAGGGCAGATGTATCTGGTGGCTGAGCTCGGACCTGGCTGGTGGCAACAGTAGTTCTAGATGGTGTCCTCTGATGGAGGGGCATGGTGCGCAGGCATCTGGGTGGGGGTGTCCCCCAGGGAGGAGCTGGTGCTGGTGATGGTTCTTGGTGTCAAGACCAACTGTGCCTCATGACTGGGCCTAGGGCTGTGGTGCTGGCAAGCCAAGCACGGGCCAGGGCTCCCCAACTTGCTGGTGGAAACTGCAGCTTAGGAGCTTTGCAGGATGGGATGCTGGGCTTGGGCAGGTTACCTGTTGGAGTGCCTGCCCCGCTCACACTGGTCTTGCACTTCTGCCTCAACCCGCAGTGCCATGAGGTCTCCAGTGTCCTCCTTGGTCCAGTTAGGGCCCAGGGTGGAGGGCCTGGGCCTGGGTGAGGAGGATGAGGCCATGGTGGGTCCCAGGCCAGCTCTCTGGGCCCCTGTGTAGCTGCCCCGGTGTTGCTGGGCCTGGGCAGCTGCCTGCTGTGCCCAATACAGGGCCACAGCACTGGCAGCCGTGTGGCAAAGGCAATGCCCCAGAGCACCAGGCACAGGACATGTTGCTGGGGGTATGCCGCAGGCCAGCTGTACTTGCCCTGCTAGCCAGAAGCTGCTTGCAGGTGGTCCTGGGGGCCGACAAGCCTGGCCAGAGGCTGCAGCACCCTGCAGCACCTTGCTGGCCTGGACAGTGTTTTCCTGGCAGCTGCGCAGCTGTGTGGTGCCAGGCAACAGTGCTGGGCTGTGGCCTGCCCAGGGGGACACGGACCTGGAGTGCCCTCAGGCTCCCTGTGTGCCCCAGGCCTGAAAATATCTTCAGGCTTTTGAAGCCTGCAGACAGGAGCTGCCATAGAGGAAGCCCAGCCCTGGGGCAGCAGAGGGTCCTAGCCCGCTGCCCTGCTGGGTGGCCTGAGGCCAGCCCCTTAGTGGCTAGGCAGATGGGTTGCATCTACATGTATGGTACTGTGTAGTAACTAATCTTGCTTAGGTTTGCTACTTGCATTTGTGAGTAGCAAATCTGAGTGGGGCTAAGTGTTTTTACTGTGTGATAAGTGCGTGGACATGTAGCCACATGTGCTTACTGCACAGTAAACTATGCTAATGTGCAGTAGCATATCATGTAAATGCACCCATTGCACACGTAGGTCAAAGCTACTCTTTTAAATTAGGGTACATTTTATCTGAGAAATAATACATTTAGAAGTTACTAAGTGGTGACTTGGAAATGAGACTATGTTTGGACTGTTTAACATATGAAGCTAGTATATAAATAGATTCCCTTGTTCAAATCATGGCGGTCGGTTTGTTGAAAATAGAAGATTTAGGTCAATTCAAAGTAGTTTTAATTCCAGGTAGAATTGTAAATATTGTTTTGGCATTTCAGCAGTTACTTTTTAAAAGATTTAGCTAGATTTGTATCTGTGATAAGCCTGTGGTGTTACCAGTTGGAGGAGTTCTCATTGGCCAGGTGTTGGGTTGCTATATTATTTCCTGTCTTGTCCAGGTGTCTTTTAGCTTGTGGAAAGCAATTTTTTTTAGAAACATTAAACTTCTTTTTATTCAGTAGTGATGGGCAGACTTTTGAACAGTCTCCTTTTCAAAATGCTCATGTGGACCTATAAGAATAAATCCATATTTCTTAAGCAGGGCAGAGGCAGTCAACAGGACAAGAGTTGTGTTTTATGAATCATCTTTTCATACTACATAACAAATGAAGGAAAAATCTCTTGTGGTTTCATGTGCATATTTGCTCACCATCCTTGGGCTTTGTTTTCCTGAACCCAAAGTCTATAAACTGCATTATGCAAAATGTCTTGGGGAGCGGGGGATGGGTATCCTACTTATGCTTTCAGGGCAAGATCCTTACCTCATATAAGCTGTTGCAGAACAACTGAAGTCAATGGAGTATAAACATTTCTACCAAGGAGATTCTGGCCCTCAGGATTTCAGTGTTTTAACACAGGTTCCTATGGTCCTCAAGGCTGATCATGTTAGTTAACAATGAATTTTTTTTAACCACCACAGATTGTAGCTTCTTTTCCAGCAACTTTATTTCTGTACTGCTCTTTATTTCTGTTCTCTTTGAACTGTTGCTTACATAAAATCTTTTCCCAGTACTTAGTGCTTTTACATCAGTCCATTGCATAACAATGCAAAGTCATTTTAGCCATCTGTCAACCAACAGTTTGCAATTGTTTTCAACAACAGAAAAATGAAATATCTGTATCAGGCTTCATCTTCTGTACTCGTACCTTTTTTATTCTTTTTTACCGTTATTTGACTTATGAGCTGGAATCAATTCATTTAAGCTCAGCTGTGTGTCTATGAACTCCTAATCAAGCAGTTAACCAGTCTGTGCAACCGTTCAGATTTTACAGCACATGTTGGTTGGTTTTACCTTGAAGATTTTCAATTCACATTGACTTTTCAACATAAAAATTAAATATTTCACGTGGACTTTGATAGAACATAGATGCTTTCAATGCCTTTATTCATTATCAGTTAAGTATGTTCATTAATCAACATTTCCTATTTAAAATAAAAATGTATTATTCTGACACTTTTGATTATGGTGTCCTAGCAGCTTTCTCAAATTAGCCTTTTTCATTTTAATGGATCTATGTCCAGGAAGCTTTAGGTAGCTTTAATTCTCTGTACAACTTAATCCTTTCCTCCATGTGGTATCACTTTAATTTCTTATTAAAGGATTTAGTATCTATGATTGCAATAGTTTAATTATAAAATATAAAATTCAATATGTAAATGTAAGCTATATCACAAAAAGGAAAAAAAGGTAAGTTATTTTTCAACAAGTTCAACAGGAGCCTGCAGTTAACAGGCTGGTTGTTTTTCAGTATAAAAACTCCAGTGAGGCATAAAAAATGCTTCTGTTTGCTGTATCAGAGTTTCAGACTTATAATCCAATGACATACATAACATTATTATTATTAATTTTAAAATCCATATTTTATGGGGGTTGTCATCACAGTGTCAGCTACTCTTTTTCTACACATCTGGGCCTGATTCTCTCTTCATTTTACACTGGGATAAATTAAGAATGTCTCCACTGGAGTAAATTGAGTTTATGCCAGCATAAAATGAGTGGGAGAAGAGAATCAGACCCAGAAATTGCATAACGTTCAGTATTGATCCTAGCCATATGCTTTATTGCCTGTATTATTTCTGGGGTTGCAGTGGGGGCAGGAAGTATGTCACTGAAATCCTCAGAGAGTAGATTGAGGTTTAAGTTTGCAATCCAGCTACATTTCCTCTGCATATTTTTCTCACTCAGAGGAGTGCAGTATTTGATAAAAACTGAAGAACTCTTCTCCAGTTTCTTTTAACTTTTCCCTTGTGCCTCAGAAAAACACTGGTTACAATTCTTCTATTCCTTTGCTGCTTTAAATTGTGCTATAGTTGCCCACCAGCTTTGTTACACTGCTAATAACATTGTACTTTACATAATCCAGCCTTTTTCAGTTTCTCCATTTATCAGAGTCCATAGAGTTAGGATTTTTCTGGACAGTACCCATTTGGGATTTTACATTAGTGCCATAACTTCCTTTAAAACATCTCTCTTGAATTATTTCCTTCTTTTATTCCCAATTATGTACACAATACCCTTCTCCTGTACTACAGTTGCTTGTGTTTTGCATTTGCAGTTTTGATAAGATGAATCAAGGTCTTTGACTCAGAAAACATCCGTGGTTCTGAGCTTGAACATTCATGGAGATGCATTGACTTCAGTAGTCCAGCAGTGCAAGTTTATGGTGCTATATCAATGTAGTTACAAAATAATGACTAATAAAGTGCCATTTTATTTCTGTATATTTGTTAGAGTCATGAAGGCTGCAATATAATCAGGCAAACAACTCCTGCCTGATCTTTGCTAGGCAGTGGAGGATATTGTCCCATTAGGTCTATCCTGGTATGTGCAGAAGGAAAACAATCACAGATGTACACATATTTTCTTTAACTTGTGGAAGCTTATTTGCCTGATCTCCTTAAGGTTTTGTGTTGGAAGTAGGACCACAGGACCACCTCTTCTCTGCACCATAATTTCTTGCTGACGAAAAAGATTTTGCTTGGAAATTTGGATGAGTCAAATACTGCTTGAAACAATATTAACACTTCTGCCAGGCTTCCTTCTTATTTTTTATGTGAGCAGGTAAAGTGGGAGTTTGACTGGGGAACAGTGTTCCCTCTAACTGTGTGGCGTGTGTGGCTGCGCAGGCATGCTTTGCAGTGTGCACAAGTGTGCCTGCACAGCCACACAGTTTAGAGGGAACGCTGCTGGGGAAAAGGGGAATTAAAGGAGTAAAGAAACAGAAAATACTTTTAGGGCACTGAGAGATCCCTTCATTACCAAATATAAAGATCAGGGAATTGGGGGTCGAATCCTGTAAAGCCAGTGCCTAACTTTTACGGAGGGAAATACTTAACAGAAGTCCTAGCTCCAGTGAAGTCAATAGCAAACTCTTACTGCCTTTAATATACTAGTATTTAACTAGTTTCCTAGGCCCACTGTTATGCTCCCTACCATGGACAGTATAGCCATTAGTAATTAAACAATGATTAATGCATGAATAACAACGTGATTCTTGGAAATAATAGAACCTGTTGCACAGATGCATGCTATGACAGGTCTTATCTTATTATTACAAACTCTGTTATTAATGTGTTAAGGATTACAAATCTCCTTCAGGATTAACACATTTTTTCCATAAACTGTATACAATCTTTTTGTTATTAATCAATGTGCAATGTAGCATTAACTAATAAATTAGAATCATAGAAAATGAAGGTTGGAAGGGACCTCAGGAGATCATCTAGGCCAAGCCCCTGCTCAAAGCAGGACTATCCTCAACTAGATCATCCCAGCCAAGGCTTTGTCTAGCTGGGTCTTAAAAACCTCCATGGATGGAGAGTCCACAACCTCTCCAGGTAACCTGTTCCAGTGTTTTACCACCCTCCTAATGAGGAAGTTCTAATATCCAACCCAAACTTCCCCTGCTGCAACTTGAGACCATTGCTCCTTGTTCTATCATCTGCCACTATGGAGAACAATCTAGCTCCATTCTCTTTGGAACTACCCTTCAGGTAGCTAAAGGTTGCTATTAAATCCCCGCTCAGCCTTCTCCAGACTAAATAAACCCAGTTTCCTCAGCCTCTCCTCATAAGTCTCATGCCCCAGCCCCAGCCCCCTAACTGCCCTCCTCTGGACTCGCTCCAATTTGTCCACCTTCTTTCTGTAGTGGGGGGCCCAAAACTGGACACACTACTCCAGATGCGGTCTCACCAATGCCAGAGAAGGGAAGAATCATTTCTCTCAGTCTCCTGGCAATGCTCCCACTAATGCAGCCCAGTATGCCATTAGCCTTTTTCACAGGGGCACGTGGTTGATTTATATTCAGCTTATTGTCTACTGGAACCCCCAGGTTCTTTTCTGCAGAGCTGCTGCTTAGCCAGTCAGTCTCCAGCCTGTACTGGTGCATGGGATTGTTCTGTCCTCAGTGCAGAACTTTGCATGTCTCCTTATTGAACCTTATGAGATTTCTTTTGGTCCAATCCTCCAATTTATTGAGGTATCTCTGAATCTTAGCCCTACCCTCCAGCATATCTACTACTCCACCTGGCTTAGTGTCATCTGCAAACTTGCTGAGGGTGCATTTATGCCACCTTCCAGGTCATTAATGAAAATATTGAATAAAACTGGCCCCAGGACAGACCCATGGGGCACTCCGCTTGATACTAGCTGCCAAGAAGACATTGAGTCATTGACTACTACCCTTTGAACCCAATGATCTGGTCAGGTTTCTATCCATGTTACAGTCCAACCCATAGTTCCTTAGCTTGCTTGCAAGAATATTGTGGGAGAGCATATCAAAAGCCTTGCTAATATGAAAGATACTATACTAAATGGAGCTCCACTATCCTATAAGGTCATGCAAGAGCTTCTTTTCTCAGCTGCATCCAAGTTGTTGCTTACAAAACTTCAGTATCTCAGAATAAATTAGGACAGATTTGCACCTTCTAGACTGGCTTCTGCCTGACTTCATACTAACACAGCTTGCTCTCTCTAGATCAGGGTTGTCCAACTTCTAAACATCTGGGGGCCATCCCCTCTAGCCATACTTGCAGGTGCCATATAGTCTTGCAACTGCACTGTAGACTGGCTGAAACCCCTTCCCTCCCTCCACCACACTCTGCAGCCTCCTGTGACCAGGCATCCCTACTATTGCACCATGCACCAGGGTGCCCCTCTGCTGCACTGGGCGGCCCTCCCATTGCTGCAGCCCATGCCATACCTTACTGCAGCACATGGCTGGGTACCCCCCTGCTGATCCCCATGCCTTCCCATTACACTGTGGTCCAGGGTGCCCCTTGCTGCTTTCCAGAACCCCCACTTCTCCCCAACCTCCCCCATTCCCCACCTACACTCACTGTCCCCCAACTCTGTCTCTTAGCTGCACCACGTCCCACTTCTGCTGCTTCCCATGCCTGTCTGCTGCACTGTGCATCTCTTCTGTAGTGGGCAAACCAAGTTATGCTAAGGCTCTTGGTCATAGTTTAGGCCTTCCTGAAATTAAGCAATTAAATAGTACAGAGTGCCGTATAAGGCAGTGGAAAGTCAGTACTGTGAATGGTATGGTGGGCTAACCAGATACAGTAGTTTCCTTAAAAGGAAAGAAAACCAAAAATGGAATAGGATTGGAGTACCTTATCTAAAAAGATGAGGTAAGAAACTTGAGGACTGGACAATTTGTGGTGCAAAAGTTACCAAAGCGGTGTGGTGGACAAACAAAAGAACAGCTGTGTAGTGTTGAGACCCTGGGGAGACAGGAGCAACCTTGGAATTCTTGTGCAAACAGGGATTCCAGAAACTACCACCCCACACACCCAGCAGAGGATCTGAGGCTGGTAGCACTGAAGGTCGCTGTTGTAATTTCTGAAGGAACCACTTGCCAGGCTGTATTACAGGGAGGAAGCTTGTCATAAAGATTAGGGATTACTATTAAAGTTCACTTCATACCAAATTGGACGAGGGGCTGTGTCAATTCTTGGGGGTCTCTGGTAAAAGGAATCCTAGTGGCAACACCTTCCACTGCACTGTGTGCTCTCTCACTACTGCCCCTGTTTCTGCTCCTCATACCCCGCCATCCTCCACTGCACTGGATGCTCAGGCACTTTTAGCTTCCCAGCTGTGAGCTCCCCTGCTGTACCATGCATCCTGGACTGCAGACTCCCTTGGCACTGAAGGCTGCACTGTGCTGCAGCATCCCAACCTTTGGGGCAGGAGCAGGAAGCCAGAGGGGGAACCTGGAGCCCCCAGCTGAAGCTAGAGCAATGGTGGAAGTATCAGCGAGCGATAACCCGAAGGGCCATAATTTAACCCCTCAATAGGCTGCATCCAGTCCATGGGCTGCCAATTGGACAGCCCTGCTCTGTATCATATAAGGTAGCTTTGGGTAAGTGACTTTTTTATCCTTCAGTGTTTTCTGTCTTGGAAGCATATTTTATTATGCCAGTAGAATTTGTTTGGTACAAAACTAAATAAAAATTAATTAAAGATAAATTATAATAAATTATCCTTTGAGGGAATGATAACAAGTAGGTGATAACTATTGGGTAGGTCTTTATTTTGACTTCCCCCCCTACTATTACAAACTGCCTAATTGTAGGCCTATGGAACTATGTGGGACATGTTACTTTTTGTGTAGTTAGTGAATCCTGCTGGACTTTTCTTTCCCGCAAGTTATTCACTGGCATACTTGCTATGTGATTAGCATCATGGGTAAGTTGATAGCCTGTACAGGAAAGGAAAGAATGGCAAGCTGATTACTTTATGGTTATTTTGCAAAACTGATGAGACAGCAAATGATATTCAATCCTATTAAAAAGACTAAGCATCACTTTTTTCCTCCCTTAAAAAAAAATCCTTACATTCCTTGCATTGGGATGGGGTGATATGATTCTACAATTCAGGGAAATTGGAAATTACAGAACATCTTGCAACGAAATTGGTTTTCTGTGGCAAACTGATGAATCACTTACTGCCAATGACTGGAAGGAAAAGTACTTGTTTATGCCCTTATGTAATGAATTTTTATGAGGTGAAGTTTGCTGTTTATAAAAAATACACTTTAAGCTGCCTCAGATGTAAAATAATAGAATTCAGATTTCAGAGCAATGTGTTACTGCAAAGACAGT